TTAAGACTTTTGATAAATCTAGTTTATAAGGTAGTATAGATGTAAATTAAGTTATATGTTAAAAACTAATAAATAATACATGAAAAAGCAAATAAAATGTATTAAAATATAAAGTTGACAGAAACTCTGCTTTGGTTTTATTTACAAGAACACGAAAAAGCCTGTGATGTGTCTTCACTACCATTTTATATGTCAATGTCAAAAATAAATAATTAACAACAATTATGTCTTTTTTTTTCTTTTCTTCAAATATTGAACAAGAAAAACAAACGCATAAATGCCACATTTAAAATGTATAAATAACCAAAAGAGTAAATTACGGATTTGGTCCCTTGTCTTACACTTTTTAGTCACAATGGTCCAAAATCAAAATAAATATAGATTTGGTATCCTTGATCCGTATTTCGCACTCATTGAGTCCCTCCCTTTAACGAAATCAAAACATTCCGTTAGCCTTAGTTAAATCCATGGAAGTTCTTCACCGTTAATGAACAATAAATCTAAAATTTTGAAGAACATCAAAGAGCATTCAATAACAATTTTGTTCAAATTCAATTAAAAGGTTTGGATCTAAATCAAAAACCTAAATCGAATTTAAAGAACAAACCCGAAACTGAAACCCAGATTCACAACTAGAACTGATGGAAACCCATAATCAGAAGTAGAACCAAAATTGAAACCCGTATTCACAACGAGAACCTAAATCGAAACCCAGATTCAAAACTATAACTTTTTTCGAAATCTATATTAAAAAACTAGAACCAAAATCGAAACTCAGGTTCAAAACTAGAATCGAAAACGAAACAAGATTGAAACCCAAAGATGAAATCAAAATTCAAGTACAAACCCATAAATCAGATCACACGTTCAAACCCAAAATCGAAACCCAGATTTGAACCTAAAAACGAAACCCTCACTGGTTTCCCTATCCGTTCATCCCCTCCACATACATATAAAAGTCCAGTGAACCCCTACCTCCCGTTTCCCTCTCCGACGCCAATGGTGATAAACTTTTCTCCAGTCACACTTCCTAGTGAGCCAGACGCAAGGACCCAATCACGGATCCTTGGAGAATGAGGGGATTTTTGCCAGACAAACGGAAGTGGGGGTCTTTCGTCGGGAAACGGAGATGGGGAGGGGGTTTTCGGTGAAGATGTAGGGGTTTTCATTGGAATTTCAACGAGATTTGATGGTCACTGTGGGGTATGCAAAGATGATTTGATCGTCAGACCTGTTTGTGAGCTTCGAAAGCTATAGATGGAGAAGGGGTGGGGAAGGCTAGTAATGTGAAGTGCGGGGGACGTCGGTGATAGATCTGAGAGGCCGACGGGGAGAAGAAACTAAGGAAGGTTTTTGTATTATCAGGGTGGAGGATTCGACTTAGGGTTTGGATTTGGTTTTGAATTGAGATGGAGATGAAGATTGTTTCAATTTGAGTTACAGATGAAGATGATGATGATTAAGGTTTGGATGAGCTGAGAACTTCAGATGAAGATCATGTTTAAAATATAATATATTATTTATTTCCTAATTAGGATAAAGACAAAACGGTGAGAAAAAGACTCAAGTGCCCCTAGATTTAACTAGTTTAACAAAAAAAAATTAACGGATGTTAGAGAAAGGGACTCAATGTGTGTAAAAATGCACACCAGAGGTACTAAATTTGTATTTATTTTGATTTTGGGACCAGAATATATAAACCGCAAGTACCAAATCCGTAGTTTACTCTAACCAAAATAAAAACAAATGCCAAGTCAATTATTCAGGTGTAAATTCAGGACTATAAAAATGTAGGACGTGTTGTGTACTTTATGTAATCATATGAACTATCGATCACTTTTAGTCTCATGTTTACTTATAATTACACTTTTAATATGAACCCTTGATCATTTTCTCAAATGAACCTATTGCTATATATAGGGTTGGGTTCTAGCAAGAATGAGAGTTAAGATAAGAAGTAATCTTCACCCTTAGATGTACATTAGAATGAGATGTACTAGATAAATCCTTGTATCAAACGCGATTCATGGGTGGATTTAGAATTATAAGTGATCAACGGTACAGATCTCTTCTTACGCTTCTCGTTTTAACTTTCTTTCTCATACGATTATCCGTAAATATAGGATTGGGTTCTGGTGATAAGTGAAACTATGTGATAAGCGTAAGAAGAGATCTTCATCATTTGATCAATCCTGATTGAATGTCAATACTAATGTGATTTACCGAGATGCACCATATAAATTATCTTCTAAAAAGCAATTCATAGATGGACATGAGATTAAAAATGACCAAGGGTTCAAATCTTTTCTTACGTTTTTCACCATAACATTCCTCATATGATTCTTTACCTATAATTAATATATATATATATATATATATATATATATATATGAGCGATAAAATGCAAACCATCTATATTTGTACATACCACACTGATCCGTCGATTTCATTGTTTAATCACATGAAATTGTTTTATATAATTTTTTTTGATGAAGTTGTTTCATATAATACTTATGGAATTTTAATGAAATTGTTTCATGTATTTTTCTAAAATTAATATAATGAAGATAATAATATCCATGATTAATATCTTCCACAATAAAAATGATTAATCAACCTCTCATAATTCCAAAAAAATGAACAAAATGAAAAATTATGATCGATCGAATGAGGTTTGTACAGTTTGTACAAATAACGTGGTTTTCAAAATAAACCTCATACACACACACACACACACACACACACACACACACATATATATATATATATATATACACACACACACACACAAACATATATAGGTGGAGGTTTAAATGAACACACCTTCATTTTATGAGAACGCAAGAACATCCTTATCATATTTGACATTACACGTCAGGGACCTGGTGCATGCGAACGATGTGTCTATAATTTAGTATCACGTGTGATTGATTAAAGTATCACATCAAAAAAAAACCTTATCACATGTGATAATACACGTGAGCAAGCTTGGTGGTGTAAGAGTGACTTGGCTCGCAACTAGGGCTGTAACCGAACAAACAAACAAACAAACAAACAAACACGAACGGTAAACGAACGAAAATATTTGTGTTCGTGTTCGTTCGTTTAGAAATCAGGTGTGTTTATGTTCGTTCGTTAACATGTTAAACTAACGTAAACGAACGGGTTAAACGAACATAAACGGACGGGTTAAACGAACATAAATAAATATTATTTAAATTCAAAGTAAATAAATAAAAGATTATGTATTAAATTTAATATATAAACGAACATAAACGAACGAATATAAACGAACGTAAACGAACGGTAAATGAACGAACGGTAAATGAACAAACGTTCACGAACATAAATGAACGAATGAGGCTATTGTTCATGTTTGTTCGTTTAATTAAACGAACAAAAAAAAATTGTTCATGTTCGTTCATTTATTAAATAAACGAACATAAATGAACTTCCCGTCGAACGATTCGCTGAACGTTCGGTTCATTTACAGCCCTACTCGCAACCTAGATCGTTCCAAAAGTCCTATGCGTTTCTAATTTAATATCACATTTGTATCATGATGATAGAATATAGTAGCACATGTGATTTTCTATAGTAAAAGAGTTTTCTCATAAAATGAAGGTGTTCTCATTTAAACCATTCTCTCTCTCTCTCTCTCTCTCTCTCTCTCTCTCTCTATATATATATATATATATATATAAATTGAGAAAAATTAATTGAATGTGATATAATTAAGATTTAAAAACTATCGATAAATTGTGCTAAATGGCTGACGATGAAAAAGAAATTACGAGTTGACTAAAGACAACATATTTAAGGTTAGAAGAATATTTTGATATATCAAAATATCAACTCGTATGGTTTAAGCTAAGTTGCAGTTTGGTTTAAATTGGGTTGAGATTTTTTCAAACTACAAGCATTAAATTGGACTGTTGTTATCTTCAAAGCTCCAATTGTATCAGCACAATCATGAGAACCCCGGCTTTAATCATTGTCATAAGATCCTGAATGGGGTTTGGAGTAAAAAAAACGTAGATGGGAGGCATCTAATTATGAGTATGTCTCACGTCAAGTTTTTGCCCTTTTACATCAATGGACGGGCCATTGTGAAAATAAAGAGCGAATAAATGGTCCAGCTGACCATATATGAGTCGACCCAAAAACTAGAATATACTCGGAAGAATTAAAACAATCAACCAAAGTACCAAACTATAAAATATTCACTTGGCCGGTCTCCATCCGGTTATAGGACCGAAATCTGGGACCGGTTATGGATTGGGGGTGTTTCGCAGGATCGGACCAATTATGGACCGGCCCGACCTGACCCAATTTTTCAAAAATGTAGCTGTTTTTATTAAATGTAGCGGTTTATCACCTTTTTTTTTGCCCCCTTTTTTCTATTTTTTGTCTTTAAAACACTATATACAAGTGTCTTGGTTGAGAGACTTACATACCAAGTTCTCGATTCGCAAAAAACGCAAAAAAAAATAAAAAAAGTTCACAGTTCTCAGTTTCTCGCTATATATTGTAAGACAATATAATTTTAATTATAATAAAACGAACTTTTAAAGTGTATTTGAATGACTTAATTACAAATTTTATAATGTATTAAAAATATATATATCATTAAAAAAATAAAAAAATATATATTACTTTTAAATGACCGGGACTAATCCAGGAGCGGCAACCCGTAACCAGTTACAATAAAGCTTGACTGGCTCACCTTTTTCGATCGGGACCGATTATAGCAAATCTGTTGAGGCAACCGGTTTTTGGCCACCACTAACCTCTAACTTAGAGTGGCGTTGGGCTCTTGGCCTAACTCAGCTAAATATATGGGTCAAAAAGTTCTATATTGTTTAACTTTAGATACAGCCCATTCCAGCATTTTATTATGAGAATCTGGAAAGAAAGACGCAAATTTTGCAGCATTTGTTACTCAAACAAGATATGTGCAACATATTAACAAAATTATCTAAATTCACAGAACCACCTCCTTCAAATAAAGAGCAAGATAAATACCATAGAGATTAGAGTGGTTCATATATACATCTCAAAACATTTGCCCTCTCCCAAAAAACTAAAATCTACGAACACCCTTAAATTATTTTGTACAAATTGCTTCTAAAGTCGCAATCCCAGATTCGCAAAACAAGACATACAAATCGAAATTCGGAAAATTCACCCTCTTTGATCTTCTACTATACTTACAAATCATCACCAGAAGGGTAAAATTCTAAACCTCACTACTAATCTCTCCCGTCTCTTACTTGTTTCTGGTTAATACCTCTAATTAATTACGTACATACAATCTATTTACAGACACAGACCCTCTACTCATACTTACTTACAACAAAGTACAAGAAAGACGAATGTACATCCTCCCATTCTCCTCATAATGTTCAAAACTCTTCATCAACTTGCATTTTTCTGCTCTACTAACTCTCAAACTTTGTTTTTAGTTTCATATGTACTTAAGATGTTCTGTAAACAAGGGTTTGGATTAAGCCAGGGCAGAGATGCTGCAATTGCGACCATTATCCCTGTTGAGGCAATTAAACCCCTCGATTCTTACAGCTGGTTTGTTACCAAAATTGCCACCAATAGATCCTACTTCCCTTTCGTATGAAGACGGGGACAGTGATGACCTACCAGATGCAGGAACAGGAATTATTGAATGCGCTGACACTGGGGAGACTTTCTCATCCCCAAATCGGGAATCTTGTATTAATGGGTTAGATACTCTGCTTGGTGGTGACCCACTGAAAAACGGGGGAGACGAAGCAGCCTCTGTACATGTTTTTTCTGATGCACTGTAACCACCACCCTGCAAAAATTGAATGTACAAAATCGATAACAGATTGTTCAAATAATTGAAGTTTCTATAAGCTATGTTACAAAGTTAAATCTATCTTCAAAACGTTTTGAATCTCAAAGATACTTCCGTTGTTCAAATAATTGAAGTTTCTATAAGCTATGTTACAAAGTTAAATCTATCTTCAAAACGTTTTGAATCTCAAAGATACTTCCGTTGTTCAAATAATTGAAGTTTCTATAAGCTATGTTACAAAGTTAAATCTATCTTCAAAACGTTTTGAATCTCAAAGATACTTCTGTCCCTTAGTTCATTAAGAATCACATAAACTACTTGTCCAAAATGTCTGGCAAGAAACTATCAGCAAAAGGGCATATAGGATTGCGTATTATCAACAGACAACGACATTGAAACTCAGGGAACCTTAAAACCTATACTAATCAATCAAATGACATTACAAAGATAATCAAGCTGTACCTTTTCAAAGATGATTTCCAATAGCTCAATGCCTGCTTTAGATTCATATGGTTCAGGTTGATAGCTGCAAAAAAGTTCCAGGTTTAAAGATATAAACTTCATAACAAATAAAACAACTTGCACCTGAAAATTGAAGAATTATTACCACATATGCCATCTCAAATGCCTAACAGGCTCGTTCATAGGGGTGTTGAAGAGGCTGAGCCGCCTAGGTTTTGGGCAAACCATATGGTCGCCCTTGTCAAAGGATACAGAAACTGAAACAGCGTTCCTCATTTCATCGCAAGATGACGCAAAGGTATTTTTCTGTTGGATCCCACAATGATTCATATTTCTCCTCTTCTGTTCAAAATAACACCCTTCTGTAGAATAAATCATAAGAACCAAGTCATATACGTGCTTCAAAATAAACCCTAGATCTGAGAGAAGAAACAAAGTGCTTGGAACAATGTCAAACCATGAGTGTTTTATTTTATCAGATCTGAAATCGAATATTGTGAGATATGGATCTGGTCAAAGTGATTTGAATAATTTAAGATTTGAGACGGCTAAACGAATTTAAAAATTAGAAATACGATTTCAACAGAAAAATACAGCGGAAAAAAAAACAAAATAAAAAACGAAGCAGAACGTTGGTTGAATCGAAAGGTTATTTGTTTTTCATCAATCAACGTCTACACACATACAAACAATCTACAAGGATCTACGTGTCTAGGCTGATTGAGATGTTTTGAGTTAAAAATTAACACAAAATTAAAAATTAAACGCAACTTTTGCGATAAGTGATTGCCTATGCATCCAAAAGGAAAGACTCTGATTTCACGAAATATTCACATCACGATATTTTCTTTGCTTCACAAACAAAAATTTGAAGGTCAAGTTACCGAGATCTATAAAAATAAAAAAAATTACTTCAATTCTTCTTCTTTTTGAGTTTTTCAAGGCGGCTACTGTAGAAAAAAAGTACTTTTTGCTAATAAGCATACTTGAATCACTTTCAAACACTTAGATCTGTAAATCTCCATAGACGACGCAGAGAAATCAGGTTTGAAATCGAATAACAACTAAAATCTGAAATTGAATAGGCATAAAAAATCATTAAACGAAAATTAAAATATAATCAATAGAAAATCTGACCTGCTTGAACTAGAATCAGGAAGAGTTGGAAATCCGATGCAGCTCCGCTTGAAATGAAACGAATATGCAGGGAGGAAAATGAAAATGAAAATGAAAATGTAAATGTAAATGTAAATGAAAATAGAAACAAGTGATAAAAGGTAAAGAACCAAGAGGGATGAGATTTGGGAATGATATTGGATCCTGCCGCTCTCACTAAGTCGGTCCCTATTTTATATTCATTTCTTTGTTTTCTTTTCCGGAGTTATTTATTTTGAGTATATAACAAATTTGATCCCTGTGGTTATATGAAAATTGTGGATTGGGTCCTCCAAACCAAATAATTACAAATATCGTTATTGTGGATTCGGTTTTGTAATGGATTGGTTCATTTCCTCTAGCTCTGTTAAATATGTTGTTGTTAAACCCTTCATGTGAGCGGGATTTTAGTCATTTCTTTGATGATTTTTGTATTGTACATATATCAAATAAACATATCATAACTGCATATAACTTCAAAGGCTCGACATAGAACAATATAAACCGGACAAATGTTCTCAAGACTCATTTAAGTGAAAACCGAGCCAGAAGCTCAATAATATAACTGACTATTTAATAAAAGTCATCAAAAGGAATAAGACACATTTAACCAATGTTTATTCAAACATGTATTCCAAAGATATGATTGACTAAAAAAACCCTCATTGGTTGAGACAGACCATTTTCCGAGTAAAATCATAACATTATACTTCCAAAATGTTTCATGACACAATAACATGCAATTTTTAGTTTATCTATAAAACCAAATATACTAAAATGCATTAATATCAAGAATTTGTTTTTGCATAATAATCACCAAAGGTACACAGTCTAGAGTCTTATTTATTAAAATATCCAAAACCCCAAATATAAGTATTTTACAAGATTTGTTAACCCCAAATATGCAAACTTCATCATATACTCATCATATTTGATAAATATCAAGTAAAACACATTAATACTTCAAAATACACATTTTGGCATGTACATACTTTTCATAAAACAACTTGAACTTATCTTACTAGACTAAGTTAAACCTATATTCCATACTCAATTCTTTAGCTTCCAAAAGATGAAGATCTGAAAATTCTCAAGACTATTAACCAAGCCAAATAAGTACTGATGGTTAACTCAAACTTCAAAACCACAAAACACCCAAATATAGATCTCAAAGCACCTAAGAAGTTTACCTCATCGATCTTGTAACTTCCCATCAAAAATCTTCAATCTCCAAGATTCTTCTCTCCATTTGCCCCGAAAATCTCCCAGAATCGTCCCCAAAATCTCCCAAAATCGCGAGGATATGAAGAGAGGGGAAGAAAAAAGAGAAAACCCCTAAAAATCGAGCTTAAAAGATGTTCCAGGGGTCTTCCCGCAGCTTTTCTCGTGACTTAAGTCACGTGGTAAGTTGCCCGTGTCTCTAAAGCTAAAATGTTGAAATAATGAGTTGCACCACTTTCCCCGCAGCCTAGGTAGCGGGACTTTCTGTTTCGCTTTCTGATGCAACTTTTCCCCACCAGAACTCGCCTATACCATAAGCTCTCAAGACTCGATGCATTCCACTCAAGGAGTGACTTCTAAAGGCTCATTAAAGTACATCAATCTTAAAGGTAGGCCCAAGATCACAAGTATTATGTAACAACCCGTCCCACATCGGTTGGTGAGGAGAACTAAGCACTCCTTATAAGGGTGTGGATACCTCAGCCTAGTGTGACCGGTTTTGGGGCTTGCGTTGTGCGGCTGCCAGAAACAAAACCGTGCGACTACTGCTTTGTGGTTGAGCGGGCAGGTTAGTCAAAGCGGACAATATCATGCTACGGGGTTCTGGGGGCGTTACATATTACAATATGGCAAGGAAAACACAAAGAAGATAAATTCTTCCTTCCATCAAATAGAGTTCTAATCTAACAATAAGAAGAGTAATAGGTTCTTCCTTCCAAAAGAGTAATAGAACTAAAGCTCATCAAAGTTCAGACCTAAATATCGAGTTCTAATCTGACAGTAAAATAAATATATTAATCAAACTAAACTTGTTGATTCTTCGCCTTTGCCACTACTTCATCAAATTCCCACTTGGGATTTTACACTTAGGTTTTGTATTTAACCCAGTCATCAAAGAAACGGTAAGGAAAATCCTTGACGACCTCGATGAAAACCCCTAATACACTAGTTGAAATCATGTATTCTACTTATGTGTTTCTGTTTTTGTTGTCCAAAAATGGTTCTTTGATCCAATCCCAAATTGTTCCATTCGTTAGGTCAGTAGTGGTGGGTATAAATGCAAAGGGGAGAGTGGCCGAAGAAGGTGGACGACGCCGGTGAAAGGAGGAGGAGAGACACAAGTTGAGTTTTAATATTTTTTTGGGGGATTCAATACATAATTTGTATATAACCACAGGGATAAAATATGTATTTTACTTGTTTATCTTTGTTTTTTACTCGTTTTAAATTTAATAAAGTTTAACACGTTTTCTCATGCTTAAAATGCGGTTGATTGTATTAGAATGTAATTTTTATTATATTATATAATTTAAAAAAACACACGAAGTGAATAATATATCTTTCACTTAATTTTCGGTAATAAATGCTCTACATTTAATACTTTATATTATTATTATTATTATTATTATTATTATTATTATTATTATTATTATTATTATTATTATTATTATTATTATTATTATTATTATTATTATTATTATTATTATTATTATTATTATTATTTCTATTTAAAGATTAATGTTAATTACATAAGAATATATTGTGTTATGTTACAATTTTAGTTTTAGGCAATATATCTTTAGGATAGTATAATATAATGATTATTATAATCGTAACGTCTTAACTTTCCACATATTATAATTAACATTTTATGAATGGAATTTCATTTACATCTATCATAATTTATGTTATTACTACATGTATGTGTAATAGCATAAGTGTGTATATCGGAAACGAAAATAGGACGTGTTGTCATTGATTTTGTAAGTATCATTCTAAATCCCATCAATTGAATTACTTTAAAAAAAAATACCGAGACATCTAAACGATACAAGTAAATAGCTCTGTTCGGTGACAAGAGAAGAAACAAACGTGAATGGGAATTGGATTTGTGATAAAGTAGAATGGTTGCACAATGATTTGATTCGGGATGAAAATGGAGAATCTTTGGTTCAATTCTCAAGTTGAACGACAGAAAAAGGATTGATCAGATACTTTTGAATTTGGCTTATGGTGATCATGTACCAACAAATTACTCTGGATATCAAATGATTGAACGATCAGAATCAGTTTACTTATGATACTCGTCCTACATAGATTATAACTCATACCATTAGCCTTATATTTCTATACCATTTAAAAATAACACATAAGGTAAAAGGTGCATCAAATGCCTATAGTGTGCAGTTTAATTGACAAATAGGCGGGGTGACTTAGCCCGAATATAAGACATATTATGAGTTCGATCCCAAGCTACCCTGCTAACTTTGGTTGTTGATTGCGCCGAAAAAATGGCCCCTCACATTGGTGTCTTCGGAGCCGGGTCTCGTGTGTAGCTAGCAAGGGTTGCTGGTAATCGACTTTTTGTCCAAATAACGTTCATCAATTTATTATAAATCACAATACGGATCTCGTGTGTAGCTGATAAGGGTTGCTGGTAATCGACCTTTTGTCCAAATAACGTTCATCAATATGTTATAAATCACAATACTAACCGAAAATTCATCAAATTGTTATAATCTAAAATAGTAATTGAAATAGATGCAATATTCTGAACACATGTGTAATTAATCCATGACTTTCACAAAACCATAGCACATTTATCTTTAGTTTACAATCTTAACATTTCGATCATCATTAATTATTAAACGACCGTTAAATTTTACCATCTTTAAAAATGCATATTTTATTATTAATTTTAGTTGCATTGACTCTATATTTTACGGTAATATAACCTAAAGAAGCCTATCGTACTACTTGATACATGCTCAAATACCAAGATCCATGCCATATAGAAATTTAACACATTTTTGGCCAAAATCACTTACGACAAACACAATCAATTACTCATATTTCACGGTTAAACCATTTACTACTAGTTTTAACAGTACGTAAATTACTTTTTATAAGATTGAATTAGTATTTTAATATTTGTTTCGTTTTCAAAAGTCTTACAATAATTCATAATTTACGACACCATTCTAATCTAACTCTTTTTGAGTTCGATTCACCGATTCCTTACACCGTATTAACCATACTTTAGAAATCAGTAGTATTAAATAGGCGTATTTCAATGTAACACGTGTTTTAGGTCGATTAAGTTAAGGTTAACCAAGTGGGGCCCATTCCTTAACATATGAAAGAGGGACCATGTGGTCGGATCGAATATGTAACGGTCAGGCCCAAACAGTTATCCAATACAAACGCTACATTGGTCCTACACCAAGCCCAATGTGGTGACCTAGAAATAGAATTAGAAGGACCAAAAAAGTCACGCTCTTTATTTATAACAAAAAGGAAAACTAATTTGATTGTAGTATAATATATAGAGAGAGGGGAAAGTTCATTTGCAAATTCTTTTTTTTTAATTAATCTTGGCCTTCCATCTAATTTGGTCCAACAACTCACATTACTCTTATATGAATCCCCGTGTCACCTATTTATAAAAGTTACGAAATTATCTCTCTATCTTTCGCATACTTGTGCAAGGAATTATGTGGTGTTTCACGGTTAAAGCCACAAATGTTGACCAGATAAAGGGATATGATCACTTATTTAATTCTCAAATATTTACATTTCTCAAATGAATCTCCCCCCCCTCTCTACACACACACACACACACACACACACACACATATATATATATATATATATATATATATATATAAGATCACATTTTTACACTTGAAACTTCACAGTAAAACACTGTGCAAATAACTTTTATAGTATTTTTGCTGTGTAGGTAACCTTCACAGTGTTTTTGCTATGAAAGTTAAATTTTTTTTTACTTTCACAATGTTTTTGTTATAAAATTTAAAAGTATAAAAATATGGTCTCACATGAACTCAACTCTAATTATATAATATCTTATGTATAATTTATAAATTAATATAGTATATATACTAAGAAAAAGATTTAAAATAGTCCGAGTCATAACCGG